TTTTTTTTTGCTTATGTGGTGCTGAGGAATGGAACCCAGGGCCTCAGGCATGCAAGGCAAGCGCTCTACCACTGAGCCACCTCCCCAGCCCTTTACAATATCTTTCTTTAACATAAAATGACTTACTGTCTCACCAAAGTTCATTGCTCTGCTTTCCCAACACTGATCTGAGTATGACTTTTTACAAATCGCCTACTACTTCACTTTCCTAAGTCAATCTCTTCATTTCACACTGCCGACAGTATTGAACACTGCAATATAAACTAACTGGAAAGACGCTGCTGTTTTGTACACATCAATATTGTCCCTTGGCTGAAGTTCTTATCAGTTGCCTTGGCTTATAACAAAAGAATTTCTCTGAACGCTTACCTGTGCTCTCCTTTTCAGTTTGACTTTTCTTTGGAATTCGATACACCTCCTGCAAAAGAGAACCAAAAGACAGGTTAATAGTGGAGGTGGAAACTGGTTTTCATATGGCCACAACAATAAAAAGGCAAGGGGGAGGGGGAGAGGGCAGACAGGAACAGGTTAGCACTTATTTAATCAATTTTCCAAAATATAATATTTTTGGATTTAAGTGGCGATAATCTGGCTCTATGAAAACAAAAATATACAGCACAATTGTAATTCTACCAGTGCTGTATCAGCTCACTAGTACGAGAGCATGATAAATGGGACATTTTTCTAGCAAGAATTCACTTCCTTAGAATTCTGCATGCCTTCTGGGTATGCAATCCCGCATAAAAATCGAAGTCATCTGGAATTCCCTTACTAAAGGTATTCATAAGGCTAATTCTCATATCTTACCATACCACGCCCATTGCAGGGCAGAGTACTAATAACCCAGTTACATTTAAAAAAAAAAAAAAAGATTTCAGTGGCTCACATCTATAATCCAAGCTACTCAGGAGGAAATTGGGAGAACAGAAGAGGATAGCCTGAGCAAAAAACTAAAGACTCTTATCTGAAAAATGACCAAGGAAAAAAAAAACAGGGCTGTCTATGTGCATGTGGTCGTTTTATGGCCAAATATATTATCTATCTTCAAAATGTCCACTTAAAGAAAGCACTATTAAATTATGTTGCTCCTGAGATGACAGCTAATATTACACCAAAATTAATCTCTTTTTTTATAAACTCAGGGCCTGGGCACTTTCCCCGAGCTTTTGCTCAAGGCTAGCGCTCTACCACTTGAGCCACAGCGCCACTTCCGGCTTTTTCTGTCTATGTGGTGCTGAGAAATAGAACCCAGGGCTTCATGTGTGCTACGTGAACACTCTACCACTGAGCCACCTTCCCCAACCCCCGTGCACCTTTCTTACAGTATAATTTCTAAGACTTTGGGGCATGCTTTATTGCTAACTATTACATACAATTCTAGCCCATCAATGTGTGCTTGGCACAAGTTCTTCTCCAGTCACCACGTTAAGTGTATCAGTGACAAACCCCTACATTCAGTGGCACGTAAATATGATCCTCTTCATTTACAATACTTGTGTGACAGGAGCCACACCAGAATGATCTCATAATGCCAATTTACAAATGTGCTCAAAAAAAAAAAAACCTACACCCCCACACACAAAAAAACCAACTTTCATTTGCACATTATTGTTGATCCTAGCAATAAAGTGGAAAATAGCCCATAAGCTATGCAGCTGAGAGTCAAGAAAATCTGTCTGCATGCAGTCTTTTTTGGTTTGTTTTGGCGCCAGTCCTAGGGCTTAAACTCAGGGTCTGGCACTGCCCCTGAGCTTTGTGCTCAATGCTAGTGCTCTACCACTTTGAGCCACAGTGCCATTTCCGGCCTTTGGTAGTTACTTGGAAAAAAAGAGTCTTATAGACTTTCCTCATAGGCTTTGAACCAGGATCCTCAGATCTCAGCCTCCTGAGTAGCTAGGATTACAGGCATGAACCACTAATATCTGGCTTAGATATAGAGTCCCCCCCCCCAAATTCTTTTTTGTTTTTGGACAGTCCTGGGGCTTGAACTCAGGGCCTGGACACTGTTCCTGAGCTTCTTTTGCTCAAGTACTCTACCACTGGAGCCATAGTGCTAGTTCTGGCCTTTTCCAACCCAGGGCTTCATGAATGCTAGGCAAGCACTCTACCACTGAGCCACCTTCCCAGCCCAAAATATATTTTTTTAAATCTGCAATATATATGGATGCTAATATGTTACATAATAGATGAGTATGGTAATTTCATTTGTGCACTCATTCTGTGTGCCACGTATCACTCTAAACACTTCAAGTATATTACCTTGTTTGAGTTTCAGGACAAGTCTCATGTATACATTTCATGAACAGGCTAATTTACTTTAAAATAGCTCATTATCTTAAGATAATGCTATCATAAGCTCTTCTTCTCCACTACCTTCATCTTCAGTATCAGATGACACAGAAGATGGCTAGCCATACTGCTTTGGGATGGAACACCATCTTGAGATTCATACTCAGATGTTGGTTTCTGCATCCCTGACCCACCCCCCGCAGCCTCCTCTCCCTATGTGCAGGGACTTCACTAAAACCAATTCTCTAGCTTACCTGTACAACTAGGCCATCCAGGAAGCGTTTATAAAAACACCACTCCAGACTAACTGAACCTGGATGCGTCAGACATTTTTCTTTGTCAAAAGCTCAGCCCATAATGGTGCACAGAAGGCCGAGAGCTACTGAAATAAACAGTGGCTGTTCTTTAAAGTTTTCCAACTTCCTGACTGCACTGGGAGAAAGATACCTCTATCTAGCTATCCAGGCTCTCCTCTTCTGCTCTGAGCAATGTTTAGCCTGGGGTTTTGCTCAGTTGTCAATGTCTAACTGTGAGGGAGACTAAAGAATCCGAGATGAGACAAGGACTCTTTACTCAGGCCCCTTCATAGGCTTCTGAGAAATTACCAAATTTGGAGAAAAGAAAGAATATCACTTATCAGCAGCTACTCATACAAGGCGAGAGCCAGTGTGAAGATGCTTGGAGACCACTGGTAGATGAAGCACTCCAAACACTGACAGGCTCACTCGCAAAGGGTGCTTAGCATGGAAGACTCTTAGATGGTCCAACTGAGGACAACACAACTTCAGTCTACCTAGTTTCTTTGCCATTAACATCTTGATACTACAAGCATTTGTTATAAACATCTCAAGTGAAGTACTAGTGCAGCTCTCTAGCTGGAGATCACTTCTATGGGCAGCAGTTAAGATACCACAGGAAAGGCCGGGTGCTGGTGGCTCATGCCTGTCATCCTAGCTACTCAGGAGGCTGAGGTTAGAGGATCACGTTTTAAAGCCAATTGGTGCAGGAAAGTCTGTGAGACTATTTCCTATTAACCATCAGAAAACAGCAAGTGGCTCTGTGGCTCAAAACAGTAGAGTGCTAGCCTTGAGCAAAAGAACCCAGGCCCCTAGTTTAAGCCCCAGGACTGACCAACTGGGGGTGGGGTGGGGAGAGAAACCACAGGAAAGGCTTCTTAAAGATAAACCTTTAGATCCATTTGAAAGTTTAGATCAATACTAAACTGAAAACAGATTTTGATGTTTACCAAAAGAGATGATTGCTGCTACGAACTTACTATGGAGAACAAGTTCTATCAAGATGTAACTGAGCCTTGAGTGGCTAACTTGATCTTATAAAGATCAAAGCTGAATAAGAATTTAATGTGGAAACTGAAGAAAGCAATCTTGAAAAGATTAATTGCTGGTTACCGTGACACTTCTGATTGTGTTTGGCAAATAAATATTCTTTTCTTCTTTTAGGTCCAAGTCTGGGGCTTAAACTCAATACCTGACACTTTTTCTCACTGGCTGGTGATCTACCAACTGAGCTATACCTCCAACCCCAGATGACTAAATTGTGCTAGCTTGGTGATCAGTCTGCTGGGAGCCAGGTGCCTACAATCCTACTTTGGAGGCTTAAGATCTGAAGATCTCGGCTCAAAGTCAGCCCAGGCAGGAAAGGCCATGAGACTTATCTCTAAATGAACCACCAGAAAACCGGAAGTGGAGCTGTGGCTCAAAGTGGTAGAGTGTTAGCCTTGAACAAAAGAGCTTAGAGACACAGCGCCCAGGCCCTGAGTTCAAGCTCTATAACTGACAAGATCAAGTCTGCTGGGAATGTCACATACACAGGACACAGAACTGAGTGCAGTCAGTGTTTACCTAGCTTCATTCCTATGAGCCTGGGACATAAAATCATATTTTTATTCATTCAAGAGAATATGAGACAGAATAGCATGACTCAAGTTCTAATCCACCCAGCAGCCTAATAGCAGCCAATATTCTTCACATCTTACCCTATATTCATATTTCACACCGTAGCTCCATGCCATTTTTTCCCATATTTCCTCCCAACTACCACACACAATCATATGCATGGAGGCTATAGTTGTTATAAGCCGAGAATGAGACTGCTTTATTATTTGCCGTATCTCTAGCACCAAAACAGTGTATGGTACATACTTAATACTCAATGGTGTCAGGGGGGAAGGTTGATTTCTAGTTTTAATTTTTAGAAATGAGCTTCCCAGTGCTACACAAACCTAGAAGTGTTACATATACTCTCCATGCTTTTCTATTATTATTCCATCAATCTCTTCAATCTATACCATCTCTTTCATCCTTGAAAAGAACACTAGAGTCTCACAAGGCAAACATGCAGTGTCAAAATAATAAATGTGCCTCTACAAAAAAATTTTAAAACACTTTTTCAATGCTTAGAATAGTGTGATGTTGGCCATTCTTTTCCCTTAGTCAAAGCCCAGGCCCTGAGTTTAAGACTCAAATGTAAGAGCTCGAGTTCTATGATTGCTACATGTAAAAATTTAGTTTGCATATCTATTTAGGCTTCAGTATCAACTAGTGGCTAAAAGCATGTATAAGTCTTGCCTATGTTTTGTATGACTGAGATAAATAACACCTGTCATCAAAGAGTTCACAGACTAGTGACAGGAACTAATTAAGTTCATCCATGGTCCTATACTCTTTCTAGTGGCACTGGAGTTTAAACTTAGAGCCTCACTTGCTAGGCAGGTACTCTATCACTTGAGCCATTCCTCTAGTCCTTGTATGCCTTTATTTTACCGATAGGGGCTCATGTTTTTGTGCAGGCTGGCCTCAAATTACAATCCTCCTACCTAAGGCCTCTCGAGCAGCTGAAATCAGAGACATCCCCTGCAATGCTTGGCTTACTGAGCTGGGGTCTTGCTAGGTTTCTGCTCAGATGGGCCTCAAGCCAAGTACCCCCATTTCTGCCATCCAAGAAGTTGGGATTACAACTGTGCCTAGTCATTCTCAATACTATTTCAGCACTGCTGTAAGATGTGGTTGTGAACATATACACAGTACACACAAAACAAGCTAGAGGGACATGAAGTATCCAAACACAATGGCTATCACGCAAGTACATACACACAGTTGGAGATACAAGCCTAGATTCTGTCCTAAGCATGCTTTTTGTTTTTGTTGTGCTAGGGCTAGAACCCAAGGTTTTGTCAGATGCTAGGAAGCACTCTACCAGCCCCAAAACATACTTTTTTTGGACTAAAGACCCTGCACTTTCTAGACTGGCATTCTGAGCCCTAACTCTAGCCCACCAAACCACATTCTTAACCATTAGTGCTACTCCTTCACAAGCCCTACAGAGAAAATACATATACTATCGCAGGAAAATCTGTGTATGTGTATAAATATATATAAAGGTTAAGAAAAAACATAAAATTGGGCTGGGAAGGTGGCTCAGTGGTAGAGTGCTTCCCTTGCATGCAGGAGGCCCTGGATTCGATTCCTCAGCACCACAGAAGCAGAAAAAAGCCGGAAGTGGTGCTATGGCTCAAGTAGTAGAGCGCTAGCCTTGAGCTGAAGAGCTGAGGGACAGCGCCCAGGCCCAGAGTTCAGGCTCCACGACCGACCAAAAAACAAACAAACAAACAAAAAAACCCATAAAATGAAGAAGTTTGAGGGAGATTTTTTGAGTTGGAAGCTGGAATCTATAAAGTCTGAAGTACAGGCAAGTGCAAACAAGAAAGCTGAGAATACAAATGTGAAATTCATGAGACAGGCTAAGGCAAGAAACCCACAGCCTGGAGGATTAAAGAATAATTTGTTTACCTTAAAAACTTGATAAAGCCAGGCGCCAGTGGCTCACACCTGTAATCCTAGCTACTCAGGAGGCTGAGATCTGAGGATCACAGTTCAAAGCCGTCCAGGCAGGAAATTTCGTGAGACTCTTATTTCCAATAAGCCACTAGAAAACTGGAAGTGGTGCTGTGGCTCAAGTGGTAGAGTGCTCGCCTTGAGCTGAAGAGCACAAGGGCAGCGCCCAAGCCAAGTTCAAGCCCTACAACCAACCCAAAAAAAAAAAAAAAACTTGATAATACTACCATTGATCACCTATTACTATGTGACTGCATATATGACCTAATCTAGAATGTTTCCTACTAGCAGCTTCATGGTAGCACATGCCTGTAATCCCAGCTACTTGAGATTTGTTTGGGGAGTGGTACTGGCGGGAAGGGGGTTTGAACTAAGAGCCTCTGGCTACCACTTGAACCAGTCTGCCAGCACCATCCCAGACTCTTGAGCATGAAGAGATAGGAAGATCACAGACTAGCCTGGGCCAAAAAAAGAAGCTAGCAAGGCCCTACTTCAAAAGAACAAGCAGATTGTGGTGGTATTTGCTTGTGTTCCTAAGCTACACAGGAGGAAAGGTAGGAGAACCACAGTATGAGGCTAGCTCAGAGCCAAAGTGTGAGACCCTGTCTGAAGAACACTAAAACCAACAAGGCTGGGAGCATGGCTCGGGGTAGTGTCCACCTAGTAAGGGCAAGGCCCCCAATTTAAACCTCAGAGGCTCCAAAGAAAGGTTGTTTGTTTGAAGCTTGTTGGCAAAACAAAGGACAGTTTATTAAGACATCGCAAACAGCTAGTAAACTTATAGAAACAGAATTAAAGTGAAACTATGAAATAAATTCACAAATCTTCTAAGGGCTGGAAATACATAGTTCAGTGGCCAAATGCTTGCCTAGCATAATACAAAGCCTGCGTTCAACTGTGAAAAGAAAAGAAGTCCATTTTGGGGGGAGATACAGGGCTTCACACACACTAGCCAGCCACACTTCCTGAGAAAAATCTTTTTCTAAGAGGGGGAAGTAAACACTGACTTAGACTGTTCCTGAGATAAGCAATACAGACAAGAATAATTTGGATTGGTTGTTCTGTAATAACAGGTATATTTTACAAAACTAAGACAGCACATATCAAACTCTGTATGCCAAGGATATTCTTTCCCCCAAGTGTTTCTCTAAATAACAGCAATATTGAAGAAGGGGAGAAAAGAGTAAGCAGAGTTCCACTACCACAGGTGAAAGAACACACACGAACACACACACACACACAAAAGAGAGCAGGAGATGTGACTAGATCATCAAGTGCCAACTTCAGATTAAAAAAAAGAATCTGCCAAAAGAAAAAAAATCTAAGAAGGCAGGCACAGTAGCACATGGCAGGCCTGTAATCCTGGCATGTCAAAGGTTCAGGATCATAATTTAAAGACCAGCCTGCCCTATACATGGAGACCCTGTCTTAAAAAAAAAAAGGAAAGGAAAGGAAAGAAAAGCCAGGCACTGGTGGCTCACACCTGTAATCCTAGCTACTCAGGAAGCTGAGATCTGAGGATCGTGGTTCAAAGCCAGACCAGGAAGCAAAGCCCATGAATCTATCTCCAATGAACCACCAGAAAACTGGAAGTGGTGCTGTGGCTCAAGTGGTAGAAGGCTCGCCTTGAGCTGAAGAACTGAGGGACAGTGCCTAGGCGCAGAGTTTAAGCCCCAAGACCAACCAAAAATAAATTTAAAAAAAAGGAGGAGCTGGGCACTGGTGGCCCTTGCCTGTAACTCTAGCTACTTAGGAGGCTAAGATCTGAGAGGATAGTGGTTCAAAGCCAGCCTGGGCAGGTAAGTCCATGAGATTCTCTATCTCCAATAAACTACTCAGAAAAAGCTGGAAGTGGTGCTGTGGCTCAACTGGTAGAGTGCTTGCCTTGCACATGGAAAGGTTCAGGGACAGAGCCCAGACCCAGCCAAAGAGAGACAGAGACAGAGAGAGAGAGAGAGAGAAAGAGAGAGAGAGGATGAAGAGGAAGAAATAATTTTTCTGGAATTAAAGAAATATGAAATACTTCTGGTTGAAGACACTAAGGCAGCCAAACAGAAAATAGAGGCTATGACTTAGTAAGCTTAGTAAGTCTGCCCCTGGCTAGAGGGAGATCTCAGCTAGTCAGAGACAGAAAAAAAAAAAATTAGAATATTCATGTCTAAAGGTTTTCATAAAAGGAGAAAGGAAGAAGTGATAGGGAAGAGAGAAGCGGTTTATCCTTCCTTCCTTTCCTCTCATCCATTTAGGTGCTGGGATGGATCCCAGGACCCTTGTGTATGCAAGGCACAAGTTCAACCACTGAACTACTTTCAGCCCATTTATTTTTTAAACCCTTAAGGAAACACTTTTATCTCTTAACTTTAGATGCCTGGGCTCCCGAGCAATGAAAAATACCTAGTATCAGTCTTCAATCACTAAGAAAAAGGGTCAAGGTAGATAAAACCATGAAAACAAAATACAGAAAGGCAAGAAACATGGATTAAAACTAGGGTGATAAGAGACTATTTTTGCCCATCGGTGCCCAGCTGTGGCAAACTGGACACAGCGTTGTGTACTTATACACACTGTGGGTGACAGTTACTTTACAAGATTGAGAGCTGGAAGATTACGGTTTCAAACCAACCCAGCCAGAAAATCTGCAAGACTCAATTTCGAAAGGGCTGGGCTGGAGGTGTGGCTCAAGTGGCAGTGTGCCAGCCAAAGAAGCAAGCTGAACAAGTTATGTGTTCTTGAGTTCAAACCCCAGCACTTGAAAAACCAGTAAATGCTTCCAAAGAATGGGACAGGAGGAAGCGGTAGAAAGTTAACATTTCATTGGGCAAGAAATGTATTATGTGCAAGAATTATTATTATTTTTGAGACAGTGTCTCACTATGTAGTCCAGTGTGGCCTTACAACGTGTGATCTGGCTGTCTCAGCCTCTCTTGAGTGCTGTAATTACAGCAAAGTCCCTCCACAGACTACCCAAAATGGCCTATTTTTAAACCAAAAATAAAAAGAAGAAAAAGCTCTAGGCGCAGGACTCACCGGCCACATTCCTGGTGAAGACCTGACTATTCAATAGTAACTTCCAAATGCTGCTTTTCTACATGCCAGCACGAAGGCCGCGGTCACTGCTACTCACTTTAAACTTATTCTTCCTAATCCTGCCCATCAACAGCAGGATTTATTAAACTTATTCTTCCTAATCCTGCCCATCAACAGCAGGATTTATTAAACAAGAGCATCACAGTTCTGGACAATAGGCTAGCCCAAAAGTGAGTACTCTCTGGAAAAATGAAAAAAAAATTTCATTTTGGCTGGGCAGGGTGGCATATGCCTGTAATCTCAGTTATCTGGAGGTAGGGGTATGGCAATCTGCGGCTCAAGAAGCTATCTGAAGTTAAACTAGAGCTACAGGAGTAAGGACTAGGGGCGTAGCTCAGATGGGAGAGTCCGTGCCAGGCAAGCAAAAGTTCAAACCTTAGTGCTGCCAAAAAATAAAAGATAATGTCTAGATAAAGGTGAAATCAAAGAATAAGAACAGTGATTAGGTGGAAACAAATGGAATTCCCCAGGGCGCATTATGAGGAGAGATGTACATCCTGTAACTTTTACGTGTTGGTAAGAAAGCCTCTAGTGTTCCTACCTACTGTAACCTCCTGGTGTGTTCAAGAGCATTCAAACTGCGAAGGCCGTGGGAACCTTACCTCCTTTCCATATGATCCAAATGAATGAAGGTTTTCCAATCAAACTAGGATTGGTGTTCGCTTGTAACTCTTGTATTGCCCTGTGACACCTAGGCTACCGTTTTTCAGCACGAGGGATGATGTACACACAATTCCTTTTGCACACAGAAATATATGCACATGTCCCTGCTAAAAAAAACCATGTAGCCTGGTGAGTTTGCATATAAAAATGAACGCCATGTGTCAGGTACTAGGTGATGTTGTTCCTGGTGGTGGTCTATGAAAGTGTTTTTATGTGCCTTGTGAATCAAGGCTGTGGTCCTGTGTATATAGGTATAGAAAAAGTAGCTCACTTAATCCTTTCTTGCCAGAAGTAGGGATTTTCCCGGAGCAACATCCATTGTCGGCAATGGACGCACCAAAATAACGCCGGCGCCAGTGAGTTAACCACCTCTGTCCTCTTTTCACCTATTATATTTTTCATGCATCATCCAACTTCCCAACCATCTTCCTGCTTCTTCACAGAATGCACGCTAGGTTCTTGTTTTTCTTCAGCACGAAGTTGGAAATGGAGTTGAGAAAAGGAGACACATGGTCAGCTGGTGATGTTAACAAGCTCCTTGCTGCCCTGAGAAGCTAGATGGAAATGGTTCAAGTTACAAGGGGGATCATCATCAGATCTGGGAGGACAAAGAGTCATTCATGAAGCTGCATTCCCTTCCCTCCCACCCATGTTCATTTATTGATGATCCCTATAATCTGCTTTCACAGAAAAACCATTGGTTAAGGAACAGGAAGCAATCCCTTCCAGTTCTTTACTTCCATCCAGTGTAGCAAGGCCAACTGGAAGACATGGCCAGCATTAGAGTGGCCTGAGGAAATCAGGGAGAGTTATGAGTGGACAAAAAGGCCATCATCGGGATTGTACTTCTTAGTAATGACCTTAAAATAAGTATCAGCAACTATAACACAATGCTTGGCAACATGTGCTTTAATAAGGTTGGATGAATAAAACGTTTTCTTTTCAGCCAATGTCTACTTGAACACATAGGTGAAAGTCAGACAGAAGTAGTTAACTCAATGCCGGAATAGTATGAATGAGTTATATGATAATCTCATTAAGTTTATGATGTGCTTTTTCCCCCCCTAACATGTTCAAATGATAGGTTCCTGATTTCTTATTTCTGGTTAAATGCTACCTACCTAAAGTATCATTTTAAAAACGAAACACACACACACAAAAAAACAACAATCATAATCAGAGTTTAGGGGAAAAATAATAATGTTAATTAGAATAATAGAAGAATTAACGCCAGCACTAATGTGTAACAAAACATCACAGCTCACAGTCAAGTAAAGATATTTCTTATTAATAATTCCAGAGCAAACTACAGATTCGAGGATTTTACTTAACGGCTCCCTTGATGATAAGATTCAAGATAAATTCAAAGTGTGAAATCCAAGAAGGATATATTTAAAGTACAAGTAAAACTTAAACCTCAAGTCAAGAGGATTATCAGCCTACATATTGTTATAAAATTGCTTTGACCTTTTAGATAGGAGTGGGGAAGAAAAGAAGGGAAAGAAATAATTTTGTAGACTTAAAAAAAACCCAACTATGTCCAGAGCATGTGTTTAAATTACTCCAGTTACAGCTTATCACACTAAATATGCCCTAGACAGTAAGTTATACCATTACATTTACAGAAACAAACTTACATAGACAAATAAGAATATTTGCCATTTTACAAACTCTAAGACAAATTCATGGCATCTTAGCAATTTATGTCAAGCAGACTTCACAGGTAAACTATTCAATCTACAACACTTTCTCTCCTATAAAAGTATGGTTGTAAAGGCTTTTTATGTCCACTTGGATATTGTTTCCATTTCTACTTTTATTACTGAGCTATGGTCCTGAGTATAGGCTCCCACCAGTAACCGCCAAACACAAAATCTTTTAGGGACAGCTGTGCTATCACACAGCAAGCTATTTTATTTTCTTAAAAAGGTCAATCAAGTGACTGTCCCAGTATCTTTCCATTAACTACCATTCTGACTCCTGCAGTGCACACATTGTAGGATGAAATAGTTCCTGTGAACACTTCCTTTTATACTTATGAGTCAGATCTTGCGATTCATAATACAGCTGATTTTTTATGCTGATTTTAAGTGATGAAAGAGTAAAATTAGTAAGAGCACAAGTCAGTAAGTAAAAGCTGAAACCACGCCATACTTAAAGGGTCTCAAGGCAGCAAATAGGAAGCACACTACACAACCAAACAACTACTCATTTTGCTCAAGGCCAGTTCCACTGGGTCAGATCACAGGATCTAATAATGGGGGTGAGTTTTGTAGGGTTTTTTTTTTTTTGGTCCTGGGGCTTGAACTGTAGGCTTGGGCACTGTCCCTCAGCTATTCAGCTACCGCTTGAGCCACAGCACCACTTCCAGTTTTCTAGTGGTTTATTGGAGATAAGAGTCTCACGGACTTTTCCTGTCCGGGCTGGCTCTGAACCGTGATCCTCAGATCTCAGCCTCCTGAGTAGCTAGGATTACAGGAGTGAGCCACTGGTGCCCAGCTGTTTTGTAGTTTTTAATCTTGCTGAAAAGAAATCGGAATTGCTAGTTTGTTTTACCTCTGGCAGAAGAAAGGAGAACAAAAAATAACCCAAAGGTAGGAAATAGACCTGAATCCCAGGTCTCTATCACTTACAAACTGCAAGGCACCATGCCTCTTATAGGTTATCTTAGTTTATTTTCCCCAGACCCAGACTAGGTTTTCTACAAGGCAAACTATATAAGCTTACTACATTCTTTATGTAAAGGGTATTCTTATAAAAGAAAGTATGTAGTAGTCATAAGATTTCCAAGACCTTTCTGTTTTTCCCTTGAACTCTTGTCCAAAGAAATAGGATTTTTTTTTTTTGATTGGGCCTGGGCCTGAACTCTTGGCCTGGGCGCTGTCCCTCAGCTCTTCAGCTCAAGGCTAGCGCTCTACCACTTGAGCCACAGCGCCACTCCCAGCTTTTTCTGCTTATGTGGTGCTGAGGAATCGAACCCAGGGCCTCATGCATGCAGGGCAAGCACTTTACCACTGAGCCACCTTCCCAGCTCAAGAAATAGGAATTTAAAAGCAGGCCTATTTCAGAAAGCAATAAAGGAACTGAACACCAACTAGTTCTGTAAAATCGTTTTTCTACAACAAAAATTCATGGGTTTTTTTTGACAGTAATGAGATTTGAACTCAAGGCTTCATGCCTTCTAGGTAAGACATTCTACGGCTGAGCCACACTTCCAGCCTAATTCTATCATTTCTGATTTGTCTTGGACTTGGATTCCCAACTCACTGTTTTAATCTTCTAGTGATCCAGTAAAATTTCTTTTTTTTTTTTGTCGGTCATGGGGCTTGAACTCTGGGCCTGGGCACTGTCCCTCAGCTCTTCAGCTCAAGGCAAGCGCTCTACCAC